AAAGAGCGAGGCATCAGGCCCACCTTGGTGGGAGGTGTCTCCCTCTACCCTTTCCAATACTTTGGTGGAAAGAAGCCATTAACATTCTCTTCTTTTCCCTGCTTTCCCCCCCCTCATTGCATTGAACAAAAGGGTCAGATTAAGGGAGTTGCATTTGCAGGTAGGGAGGTATCTTCACCTTAGGTTTCCCTTGACACTGTGTGGACAAATGACCCTGAGCAAAAAGCAGGGAACAGAAGGTTTCTTAACTGCCAGATCTTTAAGGGGAAGAGAGAAAAAATTTTGACTTATGGAGCACCTACTGAATACTCAATCTTCACATCCATGTACAAGAGGTACTAGGAAAAGAATGCTGCAGATGCTGGACATTAAGAAATTGGTCCAAATTACATATGGAGGGGCTGAGTAGGCCTTGAATACAAGTCAGCCTGAATAACACAGCAAAGTTGCTCTTCCTTTATGGAGAGAAGAGGTGGACTGGGATAAAGCAGGGACAGTATCGAAGAAATTCGCCATAGAAAAAAATTTTTTTTTCTCTAAATGAGTAATTATTCTATTTAGAAACTCACATGGAGACAATGGGAAATAGAAGACTTTGTTTCTAGCCCCAGGAGATATTTGCACATGGATACACAACTGTTTTAGCACCATATGTAGAAAAGACTCCTTTCTCCATTGAGCTGCCTTGGCACTTTTGTCAAAATCAGTGGACTGTATTTGTGTCTATTTCTGGACTGTCTAGTCTGTTCCATGGATCCCTGTCTATCTTGATGCCAACACCAACCTGTTTTGATTACTGTAGCTTTGTAATAAGGTTTGAAGTTAAGATTTGGGTCCTCTAACTTTGTTCTTTTTCAAAGTTTTTTGGCTATTCTAGGCCTTTTGTATTTCTGTATGAATTTCAGAATCAGATTGTCAATTTCTACAAAAAAAGCTTGCCGGATTTTGGCTTAATTTATAAATTTGGAGACAACTGCCATCTTAACAACATTGAATCTTCAGATCCATGAACATGGTATACCTGTTTATGTAAGCCTAATTTTTCTCAACAGTGTTTTGTAGTTTTCATTGAACAGGATTTGCACATCTTTTGTCAGATTTATCCTTATACTTTATATTTTTTATGCTCACATAGTGGTATTTTAAATTTTAAATTTCAATTTCTAATTGTGTGTTGCAAGTATATAGAAATATAGTCGAGTTTTGCATATTGATCTTAGATCCCGCAACCATGCTGAACTCACATGTCAGTTCTGGTAGGTTTTGTTTTGTTTTGTTTTTTTGCAGGGGGGGTGGTTGGTGGATTTTTGGTGGGTTTTTTTGTGTGTGGGGGGGTGTTTTTTTGGTGGATTTTTTTGGTGGATTTATTTTTCTATATAGATGATGTTATCTGTGAATAAAGACCATTTTATGAGGGGCTATCTCTAAGAAGGCTGTGTTCTAATAAACTCCATCCACAAGCTGTTGGAAGGAAATAGAGGGACAATCCAAGATGAGGATGATTGAGGGCTGCAAGTTATTCTCAGGACAGCAGGTCCATAAATCTAATGGTTTTATTTAGGCTAATGTTAAAATGGACTCATAGTCTATCAATACTGGGAGACATCCTCAGCACAGATCACTTGATTATCTATACTCAACACAGTTATGAACCCAGATGTGAGCTGAGTGAAAGCAAAAATATCCAGCCTTAGGTTGGAAAATGTCGGAAAACCCTTTCCACAAAGCACCACCTTCTCTCACCCCCACCTCCATGAGGCCTCCTTACTGATCTCTGGGCTTTCCCTCTTCTCCCCTCCAATCCCATCTCCATAGAGTCTGACTGCATAAAAAAAAAATAATAAAACAAAAACCCCCCACAAATGATCCCGTTCTACGCCCTGCACATAGAATAAAATCCAAACTCTTCACCCAGGCATTAGCAACCCTCATGGCACTATTAGCCTGCCCCCCCCCCCACTAAAGTCATTTCCAGCCTTCTCCCCATGCACCTCATTCCCTTCTTTGGATGTCCCTTCCAACAGATACTCTCAGGGCATCCTATTTTCCCTGTGTTGCACTCACCATATTTGTCATTTAATTTCACACTAAAGCAGTGCAGTGAGGGCTGGGACCACTGCTATGGTGTTTATCCCAATCTCCTAACAATGCCTGACAAATCATAGGCACTCAGTAAATGTTCTGAGTGACTACCGGAGCTCTTTTTAGCTGTATACATGCCCATCCACTCCCCTCCAGTCTTTGTGAATGACCTTGTAAGATATCTTGGGTGTTTCTCTTCCCTTAGAAAGGTGGCTTAAAACTGTGGCTGTGTGTTGAAAGCTCCCCATGATTCTAAAAAAAAAAAAAAATGAATGCTTGGCCCTCGTCCTAGCCCATTGAAATCTAAGTCTCTAGGGGTAGAATCCAGGTAGTTGTACTTTTAAAAAGCTTTCCTGGTGATTCCGATATGCATCCAAGGTTGAGAACCACTAGCACAGAAGGGAAGGCTGTTTTCATTCAGCCAGGTGACAAAAACCCATGGATGGGCTCAACCTGGAAGGGCTAACAGTCAAGATGTATACAGAACCTCACTTGGATTGCCTCCTGACTCCGCCTCCCATGCAAGTTGCATCTCAGTGCTGTGTTCGTCCAGTTCCCGCGGAGGTGGAAGAAAAGAAGGAAACCAGACCAGAGTGGAAAGCATTTTCAAACTTTATTTACAACTGTCACAGTGACAAAAAGTAGTTCGGAAAAAAAAAAAAATGCTAGTTTCTCCCTGAGCCTCAAAAAAGAACAGATAGAAGTTACAGGAGGTTCATCTTACAACAGGCATTTTTACTGAAGTACTAGGGTTGTTTTTGTTTTTTTTTAATACGATCAGTTAGAAATACACACAAGTTACTTAAAAAAAAAAAAAATAGGAGGCCAGACAGGAGCTCAGCCACTTGTCCAAGAGTGGCTGGGTCCCTCCCACAGGCTCGCTGCTGCAGGTCCTGACTCGAGTTGTCAGCCCCCGGCCTGCTCAGACTCCAAAGGGTCATACAAAGGTGCCTAGCGACCAGCAAAATAATAAGTCACCCCCATAAACACACATATACACAAAGTAGATTTGTTATGCAGTTTACAAGCACGATGAGAGGGACACAGAAACACAGGATTTTAAAAGGCAAGACCCCATCCACGAAGGGAGGCAGGTGCGGGATGAGACATGCTGCTGTGAGGGAATGAGGAAGGAGGACTCTCTGCAGCCTGAACAGAACCAGCGGGAGCATGAAAGAGACGTCCCGGCGGTACAGGCTGCGGGCCTCTCCCACTGCCAAGGAGCTGGAAGAAGTTATTGCCATCGGTGTGTGTAACACAAGCGGACAACACAGGGGGAGGGAGCAGGGGGAGGAGGGGTGAGCGTCAGCTTCCCAGAACCAAATCCTGCTGAGATGTCAACTGCACACCCTCATCCTGCCCCAGCTCCCCGGAACCACACTAACCTTGAGGTATTAAATACAGCTCTATGCACAGTCCCAAACCGTTGGTCAACCCAGACCCACCGGGGAGAGGCTAGGGTGCGTCTGTCGGCCCAGGTCAGCCTCCAGGAGGATCTTGAGCTCACCTCTTGGCTGCACACTTGCGCTGTGAGCTAGAGAAGGTTTGAAGAGTGTGTCTTGCAAACTGCTGCTCCAGATGGTTCTTAACTATAAGAAGCTCTAAGTCCTAAGGCTAGCTTTCTTGTGCAACTGTGCCCTTACAGGGGACAGGTGAGAGGTGGGGAGGGATGAGGACCTATGCTCAGTGCTCCCTCACCGTGCCATCCACCCACCCGCGTCCGGAGCGCAAGGAGAAGCCAGGCGATGGCGTGACACCTTCAATTTCAAAATTGATCCCCAGGCTGCTACATGACAGCCCTGTTAGCCCCCCCATCTGATAATTCCCAGATTTGGGACTGCCATTAAAGCTCACCTCCCCAACAAGAAACAGAGTCTCCTCTCCACTCAGCTCCCACCAGAAAAACGGGCCAGGAGCCCACATGGGAGTGGGTGAGGCTGCTGGTCAGGCTGGGAACCGCCCCTGCCTGACTGCTCCGCCCAGGGGCTGCAGAGGTGATGCCAGGGAGAAGGAAGGCGGCCTGGTAGAGCCAGAGCTCTGTGCCTCTGCTCAGAACAGAGCAAGCCTGGGGGAGCAGGGGGGAGGGAGCTTCGTGTCCAAGCGTCCATCCTAGTCCTCCCACAAGGATGGGAAGTGCTCCCGCCACTCCCAAAGGGCCAGGGGAGGGCAAAAGGATAAATCAGGAGAGAGAAGCTCAAGAGTGCTGCCTCTTAAGAAACCTCCAGAACCTGCCACAGCTGGAGCAGAGGGTGGGGGAGGGGCAGGGAGTCCTTCTTTCCCACGCTTGCCTCCAGCCAACTTTGCAGGCGGCCAGTTTCTACTGCTCTTCTTTGCCAGCCTCCCGTGAACAGACCAACACAGCTGAAATAAAAACAAAGGCTGGTGGTGGGCAGAGCTGGAGAGAGAGAGGAACGTGTTGTTTTCGGATGCCCGCGGGCAGGCAACTTCCTGGCTGCACTCCTCTGCTCGCTGCTTCCTTTCAAACATGTATTTTCTCTTCCCGTGTCTCCCGTTTGTTCTCTTACCCTGAATGTTCCTTGCTCGCGATGCACATCCCCCTTCCCCCCACCCCCCCAGAGCCCACTGGAATCCCACGGCTGCCTCTAGCCTGCGCAGGTTCAGATACCAATCTCGAAGATGCACCACTTCCCCGCACCCCCCACCCCTGCTCTAAGCAGCTTCCTTTCTCAGAAGGCCTTGCAAATTGTCGCAGAGGGCTCCACTGCCCAGCACATTTCAAAAAAAGAAAAGAAAAGAAAAGAAAACCAGCTCGGTGATTTGCAGGTGCAAAACGGAAGCCATCATTTGACATTTTCAGAACTATTGTGGCTCACTCCCTTCTTCCATCACAATGGGAAAGAACACAGTTCAGGGACAGATGCCGTTTGGTGTAGCCCCCGAGGGAGTCGACAGGGACTCTATTGCTCCTTGTTGTCTTTCTCTGTCTCTTCACAGTTGTCCTGCTCATCCTCCTGGACCAAGAACTCCTCGGGGGGCCACCGGAGCTCCCCGCTCTCCACCTCGCCCTCCGTGGGCTCCACCACGATGGAGGGCAGGCGGTCTTTGAGCTTGCAGCAGCGGTCAAAGTCTGATGGGTCGGGGAAGATCTGAAAGAAAAGCAGAGAGAGTCCCGGTCACCTAGAGTACAGGAAAAGAGAAAGCCCGTTCCTCCGCTGCACATACACGTGGAGAACTGAGCCCCCGCTGAGTGCCAGCACCCCTGCCAGGCTCTCAGGACACTGGGAGGGAGCCCTAAGGCGGGAGCCAGGGAGCCCATTCTGGGGCCACCCAGGAAACCGTCCCTTGGCAGACTTTAATCCTGAAGCTGCAAGTTTTCAGGGCAGTGCCCCTAAATTTGTGGTGTTGCTCTGTTCATACCTTTTCTTGTCTTTTATTTTCAGATAAAAGAATTTAAAATCGGGATCCATAGTAAGCCACACCCGCCTACAGGCAGCACGCCACCCCAGCAGCCCAAAGCATGCCACAGGTACCTTAGCACTGACTGCCTCCCAGGGTAACCACCAGCGCCTAGTCCCAGGTGCTTTACACATACCCTTTGAACCAATACTGTCGTGCTGAAAACACCTGTTGCTAATACTATCTTCAAGACTCCCAGGTTTGAAGAAGGAGGTGGCCCAAACCAGACAGCCTGGAAATGAGTGGTGGAGGAATGAGATTCAAACCCAGGTCCGTTTGAGCCCCGTGCCCATGCCCCAATAACACCCGGCCCCTCACATGGATGGGTCCTGATCTCGCTGCGACTATAAAGTCAAGGCCAAATCAGGGTTGATCAGGAACATTTGCTGGCGTGGCCCCAGTCACAGAACAGAATTCTAGGCTCCTTTTTCACCCGTGAGCAGCTCTTGGCTCCTTGACGGTTCTATACCTGGAAGTCTTTTCAGAGTCCCGTCAATGAGGCTTCTTTTTTTAATGCCTACTGTGTGTCCTGCCCAGCACTGGGAGAAACCCCGCACCAGGCCATGAGGGGCTCTGTGGATTCCCTGTGCACATCATGCCCTGTGACTGCAGCTGACCCAATTCTTGGCCCAGCAGCTTAAGTACTTAATCCAATGGGCTGCTGGTCCCTTGCCATCCGCAGCCCTCGGTGACACACCCAAGAGCCGGAGAGAAGAGCCTCTGTCCGGGACACTGAGGCTCACAAAACACAGACGTTGAGAGCCACATGGCATCCTCAAGGCTATCTCTTCCAATCTCTCCATTTGGTAGATGAGGAAACCAAGGACCAGAGGGAACAAGGGATTTGCTCAAGCTCACACAGCTTGTTAATGGCAAGAGAAAGGAAAGCAAAAATCAGGAGTGGGTGGAGACACACATTTGCAGAGGGCCTGGGCATTACCTGAGTCAGGCACAGATCAAAACAGTCCCCCAGCAACAGGCAAGTGTCCTGCATTCTCAGGAGGGAGAAGAAATGCTCTCCTACAAACTCAGGGCTTCCCAGCTCCTGTGGTGCCCAATCTCACGGCACCCCAGCCCCAAGCAGTGCTGGCTCGGTCACAGGCCACGTCACAGGCCACGTGGGGCTTTCGGGAATCACGGGGCCTCAACAAAACCTCCCCAATCCCTGCAGACAAGTGATTATTAACCATTTATCCAATAAAGCCCTATTGCTGGGGATTAAGCCTTAAGCCAGCTGCACAACCAGGCATCATTAAAGACTTAACAGGCTCATAAAAAGTATGGTAATGGCAGCCAGGAGGAAAACAAGCCAGAGGAGGGGCCAGACGAATTGGGGAGAAAGGAGGCATGGGGAGAGGGATCCCCACTCCAGCCTTTCTCTTCCTGATGCGACCGACCCCACGGTTCCACACTGGGACCATGCTGTGCACACACAGCCGATGTGCCGAGCAGGGCAAGTGGTGTCTTTGGGCCCCTCCTCACTGCCTCTCACCTGGAGCTGGAGCCCCTGCATGGGGTGAAACACAGGTGCCTCCCATGCACGGGCTTTGCGAGTGAGCAAGGGGAAATCCAGCAAGTGGAAAGCACACTACAGTTTGCAAAGCTCTTTCAGATGTCACCTCATGTAGGCCTGACCACACCCAAGGAGCAGTGAGATCCTCGGCTCTGACGGACACATGTAAGAGCCAGGATTCAAACCTAGATCTGCTGTTTTCAGTGCCTGTGCCTTTTCAAAAGTGAATGAATGCCCATTTTACAGACTGCAAACTGACCAGGGAGGGTGGGCAAGACTCTGGGCTTCAACTGCCCATCCAGCTTAGGTGCCAGGATGACCTCTGGGCAGCTCTCGGTCTAGAAGATGAGCTTCCCAGTCTAGACAGTTCTTCTAAACCTCCAGGACCTGAGACAGAGCTATGAAATATCAAAAGGAGATGGACACCTGGCTCAGTGTAGACCTGGGCCCCTGCATCTACCCTCTGACCTACCTGCCTCTACCCTCTGACCTACCTGTGACATCCCAGCAACTAGATTCTAATTATGATCACCCGAGCCAAGGAAGAGCGAAAGGGACAAGACACAGCGAGGCCAGGTGCAAGAGAAGGGGGAGGAGCACAGTGGGAGTGGAGAGTGTGTAATTTCATTTCAGGCTGGGAATAGGCCTTTAACTAAAATTAGGGGGGGAAGATGTTAAAATGATGATGGTGGTGACGGAAGAGAAGTCAGGTACATTTGCTGGGTAGAATCTCAACCTTCACAATAATCCTATTAAGTATGTAGTAGTGTGAGCCCTATTCTAGAGAGGGGGAAACTGAAGCACAGATAAAGCAAGTGACTTACTCAAGGTAACACAGCTAGGAAGTGGTTGCATGGGGACCTGAACTCAGACCTGTAGGACTTCAAATAAGCTGTTCATTTTATAACACAAGGTGTAGAACCACAGACCCCAGATTCTTACTGTGTCTTTGACGTCGCTTCCGTAAGCCCGATCAAGTCCTCCCGACTGCCTGTGACTCAGTTTCTCCTTTTGAAAAGCAAAGTGACCTTCGTGTCTCACTAGATGGGTACAAGTTCTTGGCAAACACAAAGGTGAGGACATATGCTGAATTAAAATTGGAAAGTCCTGGGCGCCTGGGTGGCTCAGTCGTTAAGCATCTGCCTTCGGCTCAGGTCATGATCCCAGAGTCCTGGGATCGAGTCCCACATGGGGCTCCCCGCTCGGCGGGAAGCCTGCTTCTCCCTCTCCCACTCCCCCTGTTTGTGTCCCTGCTCTCGCTGTCTCTCTCTCTGTCAAATAAATAAAATCTTTAAAAAAAAATAAAATAAAATTTGAATGTCCTTTTTGGAGCTGTTTCAACAAGACGACAGTAAGTATTCAATCTCCAAGCAAGAGGTGGTAATACTCACATGGTAACTAAAATAACTCCAAACAATGCCTGGCATACCAGGAGCTGCACAATTAAGTCTTTTAAGTTGTTGGGGGAAGTCTGAGCATTGAACTTCTGATATTGCTCAGTTGCCAGAGAACTTTGCTCCCTGAATTGCTCAAAGCAGGTGCCATTAAAAAAAATTTTTTTTCCTTTACAAAGCCTGCTCATGGCACTTTAAAAAAAAATCACTATAATAATCTCACCTTTCCAAGCAAAGATTTTATTTTTTTATCAAATAATGCCAATTTATGCCTCTGAAAATTGTAGCTCTCTCCAAAGACAAACAACATGCACTCAGAACCGATCTCATTTCCTCACATGCAGACAGAAAGCCTTGCACAGTGTTGCTGAGTATTCTGCCAGCACAATCTTATCTCCAACAGCTGCTTAAGTGGCTGACCCTAAGGAGGTTGAGATTTTTCCACTAAGTCATGCTTTTTAATCATCTAGGCAGCAGAAAAATGAGAGGTTGCAACTGCAGTGTGACGGGGTAGGGAATGGAAAAAAGGACTCCAGTCAGACTTGCCAAGCATATGACAGGTAGGGCTGGGGCGGCAGGCCAGCCTGGCATGCTGTTTGCCTGCAGGAGTTGGCAGGGGATAAAGAACCACCCCTGCTCCAAAGAGAAACTGCTTCTGGTTAAACCTCTTACTCCAATGTGCACCTTTCTCTCTGGACTGGGGAAGGGGGGGAAAAAATCCTTTTCTCTTCCCTCTGCAGCAAAGACTCCTTTCCAAGAGGTCCAGAATGGAAAATGGGAGGCTCTGAGAAGCATTTCCCACCCTAAGCCCTACAGAGGGCAGGGCAGATCTAGAAGCATCCATCCCCAGCTGTGATTCTCTCAGCCCTGCCCTGCCCTGCCCTCCTTCTGCCAACACTGGACGTCACATCCAGCTCCCCAGCTGTCACACTCGGCTGCCACGGCTGATGGTACCCAGCTGTGACACTCGGCTGCCACGGCTGATGGCTTGGATGAAGCTCATAGACACCCAGCTCCTTCCTTTGCAAATGGAGTAAGGTCTTGAAGATCACACACACGGTCCCGGCTGGGTCCTGCATGTCCCACTGTGCAGGAATGGCAGGCGTGCAAACTTGGCGCTCGTGAATCTCACAGAGGACACTTCTTCAGAGGCCTCCTTTGCCAGGTGGCCTCTAATCCCAACAGGCCCTGACATTTTGGGAACTCACATGGGGTTCACTTGAAAGGTCAGGAGCTTTAGGACCTTCTCTGAGGAAGAAATGCTCTGTGAGATGAACCGTGGATGCCAATATACTGGCAATCCTGGCTGGGTGGACTAGAGCTGTCCACTGGAACTGTCTGTGAGAGCAGAAATGTTCTCTAGCTGCACAAGCAGTAGCCAGCGGCCACATATGGCTACTGAGCACTCGAAATGAGGTTAAATTGTTAAATTTTCTCTAACTTTTAGTAATGTAAATTTATCTGATATATGTAAATATAATATAAATTTAAACGTAAACAGTTGCATGTGGCTAGTGGCTGGTGCAGTGGGCAGTGCAACATTAGTAGTTAAATATGAGGACCATGAAAGCAGGGTTGTCCAGGAAAACAGCTCAGGAGGTTTGGTTGATGCACCAATGTGGGCAGCCTCACAGCAGAGAAGTCTCGGGTTGGGGGGTGAGGAATCAGTCAGAAGGCTTTTTGCTTAAGTATAAGAGTTGCTGGTCAGTCAGCTCCCATTTCACCCACGGAGGGGGGACTGAAAGGTAATATCAGATCTCCAAAGGCCTGAAGTTTGGGGGCC